AAGGTACATACCGAGGCGTACCAGCGGTATTATACCTCCGGTATACCGGACCGAGATGTTCGGTACGTTCGGTATGGACTTGAATACCTTACCGAAGTGTTCGGTACGTTCGGTACGGACTTCAATACCTTACCGAAAATACCGGTACGTTCCGTATGGACTTGAATACCTTACCGAAGTTTTCGGTACGTTCGTTACAAATACCGGCATGTTCGGTACGGTACCGGTATGGACTGCCATTCCATACCGGGGATGCTCGGTACGTTCGGTACGGACTTGAATACCTCACCGAACGTACCGGTACGTTCGGTACGGACTTCAATACCTTACCGAAGTGTTCGGTACGTTCGGTACGATGTAAATACCTCACCGAAAATACCGGTACCGAGCGTACCGGTGTCGGGCTAATCGGGAAGATAGGCATGACATTCACCCGATACCGCCATACACACGCACAGCACCAGCAGACGAGCAGCACAGCAGTGTACCGGCGTACCCTACTCAATCGGTACAGCGTACAGCTGGTGGTGCGCACCAGTACCAGCCGTCCTCATGAGCAACACACCATCCCCCCCCAGCAACAACAACGATGACCCCGCAGCTGGCGACCAAAGCTTATCATCGTCAGCGCCGGCGCCAGCACCTGCTGAGGCAGAGGTTGTTGTGGATGGTGGAGGAGGCAGCAGCAGTGTGCCAGTGATACGGCCTGCTCCTGCCTACAATACGACGGACAACACAGAGTACGTAGTGCCGGCGGAGACATTGCAAGCTGTCGACGAGTTTGCGGTGCCGCAGGGGCATCGGAGAGAAGGGGCGACGCTCGGGAGAAATACCTGACAAAAAGCGGTATCGTCGGTATGGTACCGGTATGGACTGCCATTCCATACCGGAATGTTCGGTACGTTCGGTATGGACTTCAATACCTTACCGAAGTGTTCGGTACGTTCGGTACGGACTTCAATACCTTACCGAAAATACCGGTACGTTCGGTATGGACTTCAATACCTTACCGAAGTTTTCGGTAAGTTCGGTACAAATACCGAGATGTTCGGTACGGTAACGGTATGAACTGTCATACCATACCGGGATGCTCGGTACGTTCGGTACGGATTTCAATACCTTACCGAAAATATCGGTACGTTCGGTACGGACTTCAATACCTTACCGAAGTGTTCGGTACGTTCGGTACGATGTAAATACCTCACCGAAAATACCGGTACCGAGCGTACCGGTGTCGGGCTAATCGGGAAGATAGGCATGACATTCACCCGATACCGCCATACACACGCACAGCACCAGCAGACGAGCAGCACAGCAGTGTACCGGCGTACCTTACTCAATCGGTACAGCGTACAGCTGGTGGTGCGCACCAGTACCAGCCGTCCTCATGAGCAACACACCATCCCCCCCCAGCAACAACAACGATGACCCCGCAGCTGGCGACCAAAGCTCATCATCGTCAGCGCCGGCGCCAGCACCTGCTGAGGCAGAGGTTGTTGTGGATGGTGGAGGAGGCAGCAGTGTGCCAGTGATACGGCCTGCTCCTGCCTACAATACGACGGACGACACAGAGTACGTAGTGCCGGCGGAGACATTGCAAGCTGTCGACGAGTTTGCGGTGCCGCAGGGGCATCGGAGAGAAGGGGCGACGCTCGGGAGAAATACCTGACAAAAAGCGGTATCGTCGGTATGGTACCGGTATGGACTGCCATTCCATACCGGAATGTTCGGTACGTTCGGTATGGACTTCAATACCTTACCGAAGTGTTCGGTACGTTCGGTACGATGTAAATACCTTACCGAAAATACTGGTACCGTACCAAACACGCCCTTGGTTGATTCATTGTCCTTTTTGTTCATCATCTTTTCTTGTGCTGTTTGGGATATTGCTGATATTCTGTTTCCGCGTCACGTCTACAAACAAATGGTGTGTTCACTTCAGTTGAGTAACGGCGATGACACCCGTACTTTCCTTCTCGTGTTTCACGGTACCCTTCGTCGCAGACATGTCTCAATCCCAGGCAAATAAGAACTTGTGCTCGGCTTGGGGCAGCCAACAAGAAGCGAGCCTCGCTCCAAATAAGAGGTTCTTAAGTGCGGGCCGGTTCTGTATCCTAATGCCATCCTCATGTTTGGTTGTTTCAGCAACCCCGCCCATGCCAACGCAGCTCAGTTGCCAACAAAGACATCAACGGCCACTCGAACGACACCCACAAACACCTGCTGGTGACGCAGGCAACACTCGACACCATCCGTCCCCCATGTTCTGCACGCATTATCTCGGTGGAGGACAGCACACGGGCTGCGGTAGAGACGCACGCCGAGAACTCTTCAATGCACCACCGCTGGATCCCGTTCTTCTTGGACAGCATAATAACATCGGAATTCTCAACCCACCCACCCACCCCACATTCCTCATCCGGTTTTTCCCTATCGCAATATCCTTGCGCCAAGCTCGGGCTCATTGATTGCCTGCCTACAAAGCGGACACAAAACACGTTCAGATCAACAAGGCGTGCGGTTTGAAAGGGTGGTGATGGTCAGCGGCAACGGCAGATATGGAATCTATCCTTCCTCGAAAAATCGTAGAACGAAAGAAATACTACACTCGTTGTAGTAATGCCGGTAGAAAACAGGCTTTTGGAGTAATGGTACCACAGCAGCAGTTGAGGCAGCTTCACGCGCCACCTGAACGAACATCACCCGCCTACTACCACCTGAACCGGGGGACACGCCATACGCACGCCAAAAACCAAGGGGCGCCATACTGATGAGAGCACCAAACATCGGACGGAGGGAAGCCGGACTCAAGCAAAAAAAATACGACGTCAAGATGAAATGTGGACGTTAAACCTCTCGGGATACCGTTTCAACGTTTTTCTTTCTGAGCCGACGAACCTTCGCTCCTGGCCTTTACAGCAGTTACTTGACACGAAATGACTGCTGTCAAGAAAAACAAGGAGGCTGGCGGTCCTTTGCGCAAGCCAAAATTGAAGTACGCTGTTAGCAGCAGCAGCAGCAGCAGCAGCGGCTTTTTTTGCAGCAAGCGGCGTTTGTAGTCAGGCGGTTCCGGCTGCTGCTTGCTGTTCGGGAGTGAGGCTCTGTACGATTTCCCGCTGGTGGTGTGCATGTGCCGAGGACGTGCTACGAAGGTACTAGATGACACCTGAGCATAGGCTCCCTTTCTGTGTAAGGTCGGCCTCTAACGTGAATAGCCGCCCTACTCGTCCTCACGACACACCCTCTTCGCAACTTGAATATCCAGCATGCCATTTTGTCACCTCGGGGCTACCGCTGATTTGCAGCTCCGCCTAGCATATCTTAGGGTAGACACGGGCCAGCGCAGGGATTAGCCGACTGGTTGTTGCTCCAACTACCAGGACGGTAAGTGGTCAAGTGCTTACGAAGTCCTGACCGACACCGAGGGGCATCAAACAACACATAGAAATTGATGGAAACTCGTTTGTGATCTTCTCGGGACTCCGATGAACAGCAACTCAACGTCCCAACACCAGAGAAACGGTGCCCAAAGGAATTCATGATGCTACAACCACCAGCTGATAACCACAGACATGCAGCGCTGTCTTTCCGGAGGCAACGCCCTCCATAGCGCGCAGTCGGGTATGTTGCTGATGTCTCCACGCGCATCCGTCCGCATTGAAGGTTGGGCACCTCCTTCCGTTGTCGAGCAGAAGGAGGTTGAACGAAAGGGGCCCACGCGGGGCAAATCAGGGATGGGCTGTGAGCGGAAAGCTGTCCCCGGGCAGCACAGAGTGCCAAAGAGAGCGTCCATTCAGCGAGTCGACAGGGTTTGCATGATGATCCGGAAACGGTACCTAGACGCAGTGGTATACGCAACGGAGCTATTCCTCGTACAGCGGCAGTAGACCAGTACAGAAGTAGCAGAAGAGGTTGAATCGACTCCTACACTGACTGCTTTCTGTAATGAGCTCAGAAGGACCGCCGTCATTCCACACCAACTATCGTCCTACAGTAGAGCACTTTGAAGCAACGTGACAACATTCATACACCTCGACCTGCTGACATGCGTAAGATAAATCAATCATCGGTGATGGAAGGGTGAAAAGCGCAGTAAGTGGATCATTCGTGACGGAGCAAAGACACATCACGACTCCTATTGTTCGACTGACTGCCGCACATGGTACATGTATCTATCCTACGGAGTAGATAATATACCAGCAGCTGCCGAAGACTGAATTTCCTTAAGCCAATTCCTCCCCCCCCAACGCTGCACCATTGTACCAACCCCCCACTAGCGATGACTACCAATACAATGTATCGCTGGTTGGTGGCCATGTTTGCGTGTTTGCTTGTTCGTTAGTTGTCTCTCCATCGTGTGCCTTTTCTGTCTCTTATTTCTTCTTGTTATTTTCGGCCTGGTCCCTTTTTGTCCTCGCTATTTTTCATTCCATTTTCTCTTTCCTCCTTCCTTTATTTTCTTCTCTTTTTCTTTGTTTTCTTTTTTTTGCTCTCTTTTTCTGTGCCAGATGGCCTTGTCTCTGCTTGCGTTGTGAAGTACCAAGATTGAACCAAGGGGGTGTACCTCATTCTCTCCGGCCCGTGATGGTGACTCCTAGTCTCAGTTGTTACCTCACATAGCGCAGAGAGGAGTGGAGGACTCCGGAATATCTGTCGTTGATTTCTATTGATGACTTGCGGACCCCTCGGGGCCAGTTAATTTGAGTGTACCTTTTAAGGGTAAGTTAGCCTGCGACCACGGGAATCGACCGCGTCGAGTGTTGGATCAGTACGGACGTACGAAGGTACTGGGCAGAGGGAGATCGGAACGGTTTTTAATGTGAAGACAACAACACAACACCTCTTCAAACCCTTACCTCTTGTTATAGAAGGTATTGCTGCTGTCTGCAGCAACAAGTCCATCCATTAGCCAGGACTAGCAGCAGCACAGAGCCTGGCCATTATAGGCTACGCGGTCGACGCGGGAAGCAAGCCGTGTTCTGTGCAGGCGATGAAGGAGATAGCTGCGCTCGGATGCTCCGGCCGTGCGACTGCCCGACCGATGTGCCTATTGCACCAGGCATGGCCTCTCAGTCCTTCGCCTTTCTCCTCCCCTTGCTCGTGCCACACTCTTTTGGGCTCATTGAGCCAGCATCTCTGCTGACTAGTCGCAGAGCAGAGCATCCTCAGGGGGGATAACAACACAGAGCAGTATAATACCAACGGATGGATGCGGCGCTACCTCGGCGTGCGCGCGCGATACAAGTAGGCCTCTGCTCCATCGGCCGTTTGTATTTCCATACTAATTTCAAGTAAACTTCACCTGCTTATTCTCCGTCATACAAAAAGGCATAGACTGGTTTGGTGTGTTGTTGATATAATGGGTGTGGAGTGAATGCGAGTGTGGCATCGTTACTCGCTTCGGTCGAGGACACTTCAAGTCGCCGACCATCGACCTGCATGCGGCTGACAAGGTCAAGCGGTGGCCCACGTGCGTGCCACTCGAAGACATCCCATCTCTACTTGAGGTTGAGGAAGCGGTACGGGAAATGGCCAACAGAAAGGCCGTCGGGCCGGACGACCTACCGGCTGAGCTGATCAAGCTTTTCCTGGGCGGAGATCAAGGTCTCCTCCGCGAATTCCACGCCATTGTCGTGGACGTGTGGCAGACTGGGGACGTACCACAGCAGCAGTGGAAGGATGCCACCATCAAAGTGCTTTTCAGGAAGGGGTCACGATGGAGTGCGGCAACTACCGGGGCATCTCTCTCGTCGCACACGCCGGCAAGGTGCTGCTTAAGATCGTCGCTACACGACTGAGCCACTACTGCTAGCGAGAGGGCATCCTCCCGGAGGAGCAGAGCGGTTTCCGCCCACACCGGTCGACGCTCGACATGCTGTTCGCGATCCAGCGGCTCCATGAGCTCGCGA